TTTCCTTCGACACTTATATCTGAATTATACTTAGGTATACAAACACCCAATTATTCCTAATAATATTTTCCATTCTTTTGAAGGTTAACGACATGGAACTTTCCATTCTTAAACCTTTGTAATTTCCTATAATCTTTACTGTAGGTAGAGAACGAAGCGGTCAGACGCGCAATATTTTGCAATTCGTTTCCCTAAGATTCGTCGAGTGTCGCTTGAAATAGACAACACTAGGCCGCGGATGTTTATGCAAATCCATATTTTTAACAAGCAAAAACTTGTTGTACCCATTAAATATTTCAGCGAGTACCATACTTTGAATATTTGATGTACTTTTACACATCGTGTACGTCCTGCGTATTTTTTCATAAACATCCGTAGTTTCGCTGTTATCGATTCCAAGGATATTGTTTAGAAACATGAAATTCTGCAGATAATTATTAAGAATGGGATATACCTGAGACTTATGAGTGTACCCTACTCCTAGACAGTATACACTGTACTCCTAATAAGCCAGAGGGACCATCGCTTTTATTACAGAGAAACGTCACTAAGACACGTTTCAATTCCTCTAAGCATCTCGCTTTTCCTGCGTTATCCCTCAGTTAATACACGTGGAACCGGAGAGGGGGGATGTTCATTACATCCAAGTTACGGTCAGGTATCCCAGTCTCGAAACGCCTTCGGGTAGCTCGTATCAACAGGTCGCCCGGGTAACGATCGTTGATCGACTCGACATTCCTGTCAGTCTTCTACGAAGCACGCTACAGCGAAGATGGCCCTCCGTCCATCGCAGGTAATTAGTTTGGATATTAGTTAGATATTCAGTCAAGTTCGATACGCGGATCAAAGACCCTGTGACATTTGGCGCCCGTCACCCGGCGCAAAACCGTGACTAGCCAGTCGAAATAAGAGCGAATGATTTACTTTTCCTCGTGCTCAACACCTTTGAATCGGCCGTTCTGGCCCGTTGATCCTGCTGAACTTTATTACGTATTTACGGGCGCAGCTAGCTAGTCGATTGCGAACGATTCTGAGAAACACGAAGGCGAAAGAATTGCGTAAGTGCGTGGATTATTAACGAGTCGATTTTTACTTGTTTACTTTGGATCTGGTAAGATTTGCTTGCCAAGTGTCAGTGATAAATTTCTGATATTTCTTGGAATGTATGGGGAATTCTTTGGCGAATCATCGAAGAGTCTCGAAGTAAATCTAAAAGGTTGCAGAGGATTGATCGAGCGACTAAGAAATTCGATTTTAATTGTATACCCCGGATCTCAAGGATATCGTATTGCGTTAGGTAAAGATTTTGTGAAATTTCGTACAGTGTGTGTTCCTGTTTCGAATAGTTGAAGTGAAAGCAACGTAGCGTTTTCAAGGCTTTGAAGTCGAAAAGATTCTGCTGCAATCGCAGATTTCTTCTCCGCGTTTAGCAAATTAACTATAAGTGTATATATTTTTCCTTGGTAACACTAAATTTCTAATTATAAGATTTCTTATACGGTGTACATTCCTTTCGTAAATAGTTAGAATAGAAGTGAAAGTAACGAAGAGTTTTGAAGGATTCTCAAAGATTCTAGAAATTGCAAATTGCTTAAATGTCTGATCACATTCTTTTTCCTGCCGTTCAGCTGACTAAATTCTCAACATTTCATGGTAAATATTTGTTTATTTTTTTTAAATCACGCGCTACTCTCGCAAGTTGTGTTTGGAAAGAAAGTAAGGATAATATAAAGACTCAAAAGGGGTCACTGTGATTCAAGCATATAACTGTCGGTTGCCCAAAAATCAGACAAGCTCTGGCGGTCGTTGATTAACGGTTGTGGCTTTTCTCGGCCTTTGTTACGGAAGAATTGTACGAGTAAGAAGATGCGTGCATTCTCGGCTTTCTCTTCTGCCCAGGACAGCTTTTTCGTTTATTTTTTCATTGCGGTTTCTAGTAAGTTCCAAGTAACGCGGAGCGAGTTCCTAGCCGACAGTTGTGAATCTGCTTCTCTAACCGTTTTTTGTTTTCCTCGATTACCAGTACCCGTGGAAAACTTCCCTAGTTATCCGCTTTCCTCTTAGTACCGATATTTTACTGTATTAGGTTATTTTTCAATTGAAAGAATCGGAAATACAAAACCCGATAATTTTATTACAAATCTAATTCGATCTGCGCCTGTTCGATCTTGCGGTGAGTTTCTTTATCGCAGAATTTTTCGTGCAGTGGGAATAATATTTAAGAAGTTATTTATTAAATCGATATTCCTGCTATACTTATTTTATATGTAGTTAAAACATTGTAAAAATCATTGTTTATTGTCAAAGATGTGCTATTCGTTATCGTTTAGTTCAATTAAAACTATCGCTAGATAGTTTGTTTTCTAAACTATCAGAGGCTCCTGCGCCAGAACGAAAAAGAACCGAGAAAAATTCCGATTATTTTGTATATTTATTCTTGTCGGAGATTAGATTTGCTAGCAGCTTATCTGTTGAGAGAAATGGAATCTAACAAGTTTTTATCATTAAAAATATGTATATGTAATTAATAGCCAGCGTTTGAAACTTAATTAACCGTGCATGTACGTTAAAAATTTCATTGTTGCTACATTTGCTAAATTTTACTTACAAGTGACTAATTGTAAATTGAAATTTGGATATTTCGATAACATAATTTCCTTTCATTAACGTTAGAAATGCTTTCGACTGTTTAATGTCATTTTGCGTTTGGTATTAAGTTCGTTTGTTGAAAAGAATTCCTTTATCTAGACCGTAGAAAGTTAATAAATTAGATGAAAATTGCGTGGTCTTTTGTGAGCATCGCTCTGCTTAGAAACGATCTAACTAAGATGTAACGATTATTATCAGGATGTTTCACTGACACGCCTTTCACCCGGCTTTGACCAACAATTAAATCAATCCATTAAGAAGATCAAGTCGTAAAACGCGATTATTTACTCGTTGGCGAAACGTCTTGCTACAGCATTCACGTAAAAGTACCATTGGTCTAAAATCTTTCAAACATTCTATTTCTTTAATATTTCTTCGATAAAAAGAGTCTTGAAATTTTACATACTATTATAGGCGATGATGTCACGATTATTCGAGATTATTAAAGAATAAAGTTCCACTGAATTGGACGTATTTCGAATCGTATATCGAAGACATAACAGATCTTATCGGGCACTTGCATTTATTTCTTTCTCTTATCAATCGTATACCGGAGATTATCTACTTACCACGTTTCCCGATATTTATACTACTAACTTACATTAGAAGACACTTTATCCTTCCATATGTAATGTACACTGAACCACAAGAAAAAACTCGCGATATTCTTGCAATTTCTTTATATTCCAATAAATTCCGTTTCATCGTTAATAAGAAATAAATTACAACTTTCACGTTGGAGATGATAAGAGTGGGCAAAGAAGAATGGTCCTTTAAACCCTCGATGGATAATTAACGCTAAGTAAGCCATGGCACACGCGAAATTGGAAATCAAGTTGAAACGCCTTGGGTCCGATTAACGCGTGCGTTTAATTGATACGAGAATAATATCTCGGTTCCCGAGGTGTACGGTTAATCCTATAAATCACCGGTGTCTAAATTTACTCGAACCACGGTGAAATCGACCATTAATTTTGCATTTATTCGTCGGCTGATACACACACGTTCTCTAGACTGTATCAGTCGCGTCCATCGAACGTCTTTCGTTAGTCACGTTGTGTCGCTTGGCCACGCTGCCAATGGCACAGCTCTTGCCAGTGAATGCCTTCAACGGTCGGGATAATCATTGATTTCGATGTGATTTCGATCTGTAATTAAAGGGGCTTCGCGTACTCGTAATCGTTTCCAGCCTTTCTGTATTGTTGAAAAGAAACTAATAATCGAGCCTCACTACGACTACGCATTATGATTCGCGATTTTCACTTTCGTTTTTCGTTTAATAACAGCGTATGGATTTCTAGAGATTCTTGGGAATATATTATGGCTTAATATCGTGGAAAACGGGAACACATGCTAGAATTTTTCATTTGGAATTAATTTCGATCTAACATTTACATTTGAAATGTATGCAGAAGAAGAGAAAGAAAGCCGTGCAAATTTCATATTCAAAGTGCAAAAAAAGATTATTGATGCGAAAAATGCTAAATACACTATGGTGTGCGAGTGTGTCACCTTGACAGGAAACGTGTTAATTCGTATTGTCGCACAACGCGAGACATCGGCGGAAATTTCTTTCGGCACGGGCGAGATTCGAAGGCTGATGGAAATTTTGGAGAGCAAAGAAGGAGGAAACGATGTTTTATACGAATTCACAGAAAACTCGAGTTGGATCGGCGCCAGCGTAAAATTAGTTTGAATCGAGGATAGGATAAAACCGTGGAAAAATTATTCCAAGCTTTGTGGATACACGTTTCTCGTCTAATTTTTGCCGCGCCCAGTTTCTCGTTGTCGTGGCTCTCTTTCACGATACTCGTCGACAAGAAATTACTGCTATAGAAATGGACATATTGTTCCTTTAGTCTCCTCTCTTGTATATTCGACGTTCCAGTGACTCTCTATTTCTTTTTTCTTTTCATTCTAGGTAAATACAGTGACAATAAAAGGTAACGTTATATCAGAATCTATTCTCCACGATTATACCATCGAGCTATATTTGTAACAAAAAGTACGTCGATCAAAATTCAATCGCTATTCTAAGATTCAATTTTGTCGCGCAATCGTATAATACAATCTACGTATCCGTAGTCTCTGTACTTTGATCCGACAAAAACACAAACTCGCGAAACCAAAAGGAGGCTAAAAACTAAAATCACGAGACAGAGATTTAAACTAGCCAATAATTCCCTCGAAGAGTCCATCCTCGAGTCCGACAAAGGATTCATAAACACGTGCGTGGTAGACAGACCGATTTACCTAGACATTTTGATAGAATCAGAGACTGGTACGTAACAGGCGTGGCGGACGAACGAAGATTATCAGATGAAGTGATTCGGCTGTTCGGCGTGTTTCAGAACTTGGTGGTTTACCACTGCAGTAGCGACAGCGACGAGGAGCCAGTCACGAAGCAGCCTCGACTCAGCCGTAGACACTCGCGAGGTTCTGGAAGGGAATCCCCGGGTCAGTCGGCTCGTTCGACGCGTTCGAAACGCCACAGAGCCACGAGATCGCGATACTACGAGGATCCAGCCACTAGCAGAGCGGACCTGTCCGATACCGACGCGTCTTCCGAGAATCGATCGATCAGCGACGGATCCTATTTCGAGGTACGTACACAAAATCTATATATTTGTAATTATTTTCTTCTTGCAGCAAGAATATTTAGCGGGATATTCGCTGGTCGAGAACATACACTGTATAGAGGAGTCGTGAAACCGGTATGGCAACGTTTCCCAAACTGTTGCCGAAGAACAATGGAGCACGAGCCTTCGGGAGGAAGTTTGCTTGATTAGAGCGAGGTGACTGTTCGATTGACGATCCATGGTGTATCGCACGTGTGCCTATGTGTTCGTGGATTCGTTAACGAAGATGAACCCGCGGATTAGCGGTGGATCCGGCTCGTTCGTCGCGAGTTGATTAGCCTTTGATTTACGCTCGAGAAAGTCTTTGATCCGTGGGCGATATACTTAGTGGTGTCTTTGTGGTGTTTTAGTGAAACTCGAATTGATTCGTGCGACGGATAGAGAAGAATATTTCAAGCATTAACGAAACGGTTCTCAGTGTAATTTTTCGTACTAGGGAATATCGATGCGAAGCTTAGCGGCTAAGATTTAAAAACGAAGCAGTTCGAGTATTTTGCAGATGCTCGAGAATTTAAAAAATTGGAAATATTTGTCGAGCTAGGTTTCCTGTGCTTCGATATTGCATCAGCTTGGAAGACGTTACTGCGTGGTTATTCGAGGATGGACACCTGACTGTGGAAGTGAACTTGATCCTTATTAGCTAACGGCTATTGTTTCGTTTCGAGTACAAAAAACTATCTTGCATACTTGGTGCATGCGTTACGTCCGCGTATGATCGAATCGAATAAAATCCAGGGCACGTTCCATCCCGTTTCTTACTTGGAACTCTCAACTCATTTTCGCGCTGCAACTATATTCAACGATTTTAAACGATTTGAATGCACACGTGTTTCTCTATAGTGCTTCGAACATGATATTCTGAAAAACATCGTAAGATAGGACTGGAGTATATCCGAATTAATAGAATCGTTGTTCTATATTTATTTCCAATCAAAAGATCTCTTCCATACAAGAAAGTTGAATTATCCTCAAAAGAGAAAACTCCAGCTTTCGCGTTAATTATTATTCGAACGTCACCTCAGTCGGTTCCAGAATTAAAATCGGCAGATCTCGAAGAATAACTCCAATTGTCTCATACTCGGAAACGTATTAACTTCATTTCCACTCTACAACGTAGCACTCGACTTTCCTTTTCTACGAATCATTATCCTCCTTCCCAGTCATTTTCTAACACTCTCTGTCTTATAATCCGTTGTCTGAAACTATGAAACATCTCTCTAAGACCATCAAATAGCTTAGATTTACGAGACGGCGGATACCTGAATATGGAGATGAGCCTGATCCTTATTAGCAGCTATTGTCTGGTTCCCAGAATAAAAGTGGTCGATGTCCCTCGTATACCTCAACTTGCACTCTGTGTGCAACTTCTGTCTCAATCTATCCCTTGTCTATTTCGAACATTCTATTTTGAACGTTCTCGTAATTTCAATTTTTGTACTCGTATCTTTCAGGTTTATCGGGGAAAGTTGGTGTAAAAACAAATGGATGATGTTTTTCTGGTATGTGGATGGCATCACGAGTGCATCAAGCGTACACAGTGTAACGTTACTCGTCACACGTGCGTTACCAGTGTGAATGATCTATCGTTCGCGAGCTACGACACAACGTGATTATAGTGCGTGGCACGGGTTCAAGCGCGGTTCCACCGCGTTCCTTTCGTTGCGTCTCTTTGTTAGTCGATGAAATCAATTTGTAAGATTTATCTGGATGTTTCGAGTGAATTAATTGTTCCCTAGAGGTAGATAACTTTGTAGTTTTTTAACCGAGACTATATCTCTTTGTTGAAGTGATATAACAAAATTCAATGAATTAGTAAAGTTTCGTGTATATAAGTTCAACATTCTCTCTTTTTTTTTTTTGCTGCTCTGCTAATTATATCGTGCCATTTTTTTGATAGCAGTTGAAACAAGCTCTTTTTGTACGCCTGGCAACACTATAGCTCGCAGAGTGGAACGCGTTCGGCGGCGTTCCATCTCTTTGTTGCACGGTGAAATTGATTTACGACGCCGAACTTTTCGTTTTCGTGTACATTAATTAACACCTGAATCAAATCGAAGCGCGTCAAACTCGCGACGATTTATCGCCTCGCATCGCTTCTTTAACTAGACCTTCCTCCATTGATTGACAGAGTTTCGTGACACGAAACTGGCACAGGTATCGTTAAAGTCCTCCGAATAATTCGAAGAAACTGTTCAGTGAGAAGTTTGTGGACGGTAAGAAGAGAGAACGGTATTTCTTTTTTTTTTTCTCTTACGTTTCTTTTTTTCTCCTCTTCATTTTTTTCTCTCGAGGAAGCTCGAAAAGCGTTTCTTGTTCCAAACGCGTTACTCCGCGAGCGGAATGAGAACTCGACGAGAGAAAGTGCACGCGGGGCCTTTTACCTTTTGAAATATTCACGAGGCAAAATAAAATAAAATTGAAATTGACGAGTAATTACGCGTACGTGACGCCGAGGAACGTGCTTCCATTGCATCAACCCTCTTCTCGACTAATCAGAAACGAATGTACATATATATTTATTTTCTTTCGTTCGTTTCGAACATCTGCGTTTCCTACACAGAAGAAACCAGTTTCTTACCTGGTCGTTACATTGAACGTTATTACATTCCATTATTTTGTCACGTTACCGTGCCTGTCTTTATTTTCTTCGCTCGAACCAATGCAGTTGATCTTGAAAATATTTTTTGCTCGTTCAAACTAGTCCACCATTTCCCTGTTACCGGACATGTATCAAAAACGACTTGTACTTACCCCATATGTTTGCATCTGAAACAACTCGCATAGAGGAAAAGACAAGTATGAAGAGGCAAATCAGTTAACGAAGCGAATTACCTGTCTTATTTTCATAGTCACAGCAAGAACCTCGCCGTAGTGAAAATAGCTGTAACCTGAAATCTTAATGGCGTCGGTGTGTTTCTCGTTTTTCTTTGATCGATCGAAACGTTTTTGCAATTTCGTCAAATACGAATGGAATCGACCGACGAACGAAAGCGCGCATACGATCGGCCGAGGTAACGCGAGAAACACTTCGAAGCGTGAAATTTTCACGGTTGCATCACGTTCGATTTTATGGAGCACGAGAGAGAATCCGTTTTGTCGAGCAACAAATAATAATGACCGGAATGGCGTTCGCATACCGTCACTGAGTGTGTTAAGTGGAAAGAAATCTGCCGCGAAACGAGCACGTATATATGTGCCGCCATTATACACACGCGTATTCGACACGTATGCGTTTTATTATGTTTCGATATGCTGATACGCGGAAGACGTTTTTCGAAAACTTGTTGTAGGAAACGTGATCGAGACGTCGGAAGGTTTATCTTCTATTCCAAATATTTTAAAGCTTTTATCGATTCGCAGTAATTTATTACGGTATACTTATTACGAAAGAAAGGTAGATCTGTGCTGGATAATTATAAAATTTATTAGATCGATGTACAAATGAAAAAATGTAGGTTTAATTATGTAGGTTGCGTGATATTTATTATTTCCTTTATGTCTTAGAAAGAAAGGAAAAATTAATCGTTCGATATATATCTATCCGTACGATTACTCTCGAAAGTCGCCCTTCTCTCAAGCATAGGTAGAAACATTCTGTTCGTTTATTGCCGTGATATTTTGATGAGATCGGACAGTTGTTTGCGTTGTTGCGCGCCAGTTAGTGGCTTGATCGATAATTAACTCCTTATCGTAGAAAATTATCGTGATAATCTGCACGCGCCTCGCGCTCGGTCAGTCGCAGCGGTGTGATGTGAACGTACAGTTCTCACTGTCGATTATGTTTCCTTCGATATCAAATATTTCAAACACAACCTATTTTATTAAAAAAAAGTGTCTTTGCGACAACGCGGCATGGTCCGGATTAGCGCAATCTCACCGATTATCATAGTGCGATCAAAAGTTTTGAATCTTAAAATGACCACGGAATGTCTCAACTGAAATAGTGAAAAACAGAAAAAAGAAGAAACGCTTCGTAACGTCTGATTTCAGGATGAATTATGTCCGGTTTATGTGATGGACACAAAGTCCGACGGAGTGGAAAATCTCCAAGAAGTTAATCGAATCGCGAGCACGTTAGGCGATCAGGGCGAAGAAGCTGACATCGAGGAAGGTGCGGTAAGCGAAGACGAAGAATACGACATGCCACCGACACCTGACACCGTACCGATGACAAATTCGACGGCCATCGAGGAGAGCTGCGACCAGATCGACGGCCAGCCAGGGAACTCTGAACAATCGAGCGGCAATTTAGCCGCTAACGAGCCAGTGAAACGTCGCAGAACGACTGAGGAGGTCGCCTCTTTTAACACGTAAGATCACCTTATCAGGATTTTATCGCGTGGGCGTGTACGCCTAATTGACGTGCACGAATACGTTAGTGCTGTATTCAGAGAGTTCGCGTTAATGTTTCGTTCGATCAACACGTTGGTATTTTTATTCATCTTCGTCGTTCGCACTTGTTGATGTTTTGTAATCGGTATGGTAATTGGAGAAAACTTTTTGAAGAAGGTGTTTTATAGAGATGATGCGAAAGTAAACGTTCCCGAAGTTCCGTAAGAAACTGCGACGATAATGAAAAGTTTCGTTGCAAGGAAAATAACGGGTTGCAGAGGGTTAATCCAATGTATCTCTATGAAACACTCGGTAGTTACGAAATACGGTATTTTCAAAAAACACAGATCTACGTTATCAAAATTTACCTAGATACCACTTACTATCTCTAATTAATCACGATGTTCGAGTAAAATCATACAAATTTCAAAATACTGAAAATATTCGGAATAATCGAAGTACTCAAAGTTCGGAGTACTCGGAAGCAACCGAAATAAAGAATACGTGAAAAGTTAAGGCTTTTATTAAGCTTTTTAGACGATGAGAGTCCACGAGAGATAATCAGAATTTCACACCACTGATCCGTGTCGTTTCGCATTAGGTCCGACAGGAAATCGAAGAATTGCGCGACCTTCTACTTCCGCCACTTGGACACCGACTCTGAGCAGAACGAGGAGGCGGCGATCGTAGCGGAGGACTCGTCGGAGGAAGAGTGGACGTACACGTCATCGCGGGTGAATAACGTTACGACGGAGCAACGCAAGACCAACGTTCTGGTGCGTCTGGACTTCGGCGAGGGGCAGAGTCAACCACGAGCTAGCGAGGGAAACGCTAAAACGAGCGAAATGAAGCCCGTAAAAGAGACTTCCAACATGGAGGGTGTGAACGAGACTTCAAACGAAACCGACGCATCTTCTCGCTGCGAGAAAGACAGTGACGACGAAACGAGAAACGACAAGACGAGCATCCAAAGGCTCATTAAGGAAGTAGAGAAATTAGTCGGAGAGGAAAGGCGCAACGGTGCAACGAAGACTTTCCCTCAGCTCATTCTCGATGATAAGGAGGGTATAACGAATAATCATCGCGCCAAATACGCGAGGATCAAGGAATGGTTGAAACTGAACTCTGTACGAAGCCACGACGGACGATCCACGTCACAGGTAGGTTGTAATTATCGCTATTGTCATGGGGTGAATAGCTCGACGTTTGCCTTTTACGATCTTTTCTTTTGTTCGTTTATTTAACGCGAAGAAGATTATTTCGTGCTAATCGGAAGGCAACAAGGTCGTTCTTTGGAATTTAATGTAATTGAATTTAACGTAATTGGTTTTTCGTTGGGAATTGTCGATTCATGCACAATGTCCAAGCTTCCTCCGCTTTGCAAATTGAATATTTCGTAACAATGTGAAAGAATGGACACGTGATATCTCGATCCTTTGTCATCGATGAGTTACTTAATCGATGTTTAAAATGCTTGTTTGGATTCGATCGAGTTACATTAACGATTGGAAAGAAAACGCGCAAGTATAATATCCGCTTTCGAAATATCTTACTCCGCTATCTTTCGTTCGTTAAACAAGCATTGCAAACGCGATAATTAAATAAAAAGCTAGAATAATATTTCGAAAAGTAAAGTACGTAAAGAGCAAAAGAAAAGAAGAATTATAAAAGGAATATAAAACGGTCAAAGAACCGAATCGTCAGTCTGATCATGCGCGCCAGTTGTAACGAGGTCTAAGGGGGAATTATAACGTTTCGTAACAATTGTAATCAGCGTGAATTACAGCCGTTGGATAGCTGCGATGCCAGTGGCGAGTATACGACGGAAGAATCCGATGGGGAGAGGCAGTCGGTTTCATCGGAGGATCTACAGAGTAGCGTTGCGACGTATCGCAGATTCGAAGGTGCACTGGGTTGCACGTCTCAATCGGTGTCGCAAGAGATATTCGACGACGCTGAGAAAACGCCGATCAACGAGGCGCATCCGATGCTGGACACGAGTACGCCAAAAGTCGTGATGCGCTCCAAGCAGAAACACAACGGGCCCAGACCATGGAGCGTATCTTGTATCTCACAGATCGGGAACAACTCGAATTTGAACCAAACCAATGACCCGATTTCGCAGTTCTCCATAAGCGAAACTGCGCTCCACCAGTTAATCGCTACTCCGCCCACTAAATCCGTATCCCTCGATGCAACGTAAGTAGATAATTCTACATATCTTTGTTTGCTCGTTTTAGAAGCGAATTTGTATCGTAGAAATAATATCGGTTATAATTAGAACGAATAGATCGTAGAAAGATTGGAAATGTAAATTTTTGAATCGAGACTTTCACTTTTAGATCTTTTTCAATCTCAACGTTCCAAATTTTCAAGTTTCCAATTTACTTCGATGAATAAGTTACAGTATCTTTCGCTTTCGAGACGGCGCGTGTAATTAGAACCATCGAGGTATACACATCGATTTATAGTGTAATCGATGCGCATGGGAGCGCATTATTCAAATCCATCGCGTGTCGACAACCGCGACGTCGCGTTGCCTCGATACCCTATTGCCTCATCGAACTGGCAGACATTTTAATTTCACCTCATTTGAATTACAGAGGATCACGGAAATCGTTCAACAACTCAACGTCCACGTTATTGGAGGAGTCGATCATTTGCCACGACGGCCGTGTGGTTCGAAACAGTTCGTTGCGCAGGAAAAAGAGCAGGTTGCGCAAGAAGAACCTGGTAAGACGATGCTGCTTGCTCGTAGCTACAAAAGAGCGCTATTCAAAGCTATTAAAATTGTTTTCACGTGTTTCCATTCTTTCTCGCTTTTCCGTTTACATAGGGTCGTAAAAGTGACTCCAGTTCGGAAGGTGTTACCGCGAATCATTCGGCGGGAAGCGATGGCAGCTCGTCGAATCAACAACGTTCACCGCGTAAAGTAAGCGGAAATCGCGCGATGCGCACCATTTCGAGAGACTGTCACGGTCGTTTGACTACCCTGGTAAAATCCGGCTCTTTCTCGGGGTGCACCGCTCATCAGCAACTCTCGGCGGAGAGGACGATCGTCAGCGACCCGACACCGCCGTTTAGGTTACCTTGCTGTACTTCGGTGGCTTCCACATCCGAGACCGAGGGTGAGGAACAACGTAACTATACACGAGGCTGCTTCGCCTACTACGATACCGTTCCAAGCAACAAGGAGCTGTGCAATCAGCAACTGAACGTCGATAGCGACATCGAAATGAATAGCCTCGGAAACAACTCGATCTCCGATCAAGCTTGGGATAATTATCAGGTAACTGGTTTCAACTGGAATCCTACGAAACAAAATTCCTGTTCTTCTCCTTTTTTGTTTCACTTTTTGTTTTCGTTTTGATATTAATTTTTTGATGTTTCTTTTTCCTGGTATCGCTTTTAACAAAGTTAGGTTGTGTTATGTAACAGGCAATAATTAAGATCAGAAGCGAATAAATAACAATTTTATGTAATTCTTTGAAATCGATTGTGAGGATATGGATGGAGTACGTTCATAGGTAAGATCGTTTTAGGAAATCTAACTTTTATCTCTTGGAAATTTCGCTTGATATTATTGTTACCATAATGATAGTATTAAAGAGTGGACTAGAGAAATTGCCTTATGCAATTGAGACTAATAATTAGGTGGAAATGAACACTCTTATCAAACAAATAAGTTCCTGACAAGTTCCTAATGTTGAATTCTTTTGGAACGATTTATTTAATTAGAAGCATTACGTCGATGTTCATATTAATGGATTCAATAAGCAAATACTTATTTTTAAACTGATCTCTTTTCAATAGGAGAAATATATGAGCGAGCCATACAGTGAAGCGCCAGACGTAGAAACGGCACGAAGATTATTGGACTTTGGGGATGATTACCGAAACTTCCTTGATAGTCAATCCGACTGTGCCTCCAGTATGAGCGCAATGCCCGCTAGTTCTCCACTGCCTAGAAGTCGTATGGATCATGTACGTTCCATTCTATTACTCTTTCTTGATCAAGTGTCCATATTCTTTCTGTGACAATACATCTGCTATATCTTTGCATACGGATTTCCATTATCTTGTACATAACATGGGCCAGTATATGGAATCGCATATGAGTCAATATTTGTATAATGAAAATCGACATTGGTATCATTACATTAAGAATAGAACAATAATTTCTGTTATCCGCGCCAAATGTCGCCAAATGTAGTATACATATCCCTAGTGTGATTAATTAATTGCCTTAATGCACAACGATTTATTGTTTTATTTCTCAATGAAATCATGTCTGGAATTTTGTTTAACAGAAAGTATACCGGTGTCGTAGTTTAGTCATAGCTCTTCCTCTGTGTTGTAGTGTTTCGTTTTAAGGAAGAATAAAGAATCACTATTTGTATATTGCCGTAGAATGAATGTAATTCTTCTGCAGCAAATAAATATTTAATTTTATCTGTCCAACCACAAAATCACTTTAATACTTGCCTTGACCTTACGCCGAATTATTACCTTGCACCAGATATGCTCGAGCATACTTTACTCAATTTTTGCATTTACTCCATCTAGACGCATAAATTATTCATGAGTTATCTTTCTTTTCATCTCGAGGGTAATTCAAACATAATGATCATTGGATAGTACTTTCTATTCAATGTACGTATAACATTATCTCGAAAAGAAATTTTCTTTCGCACAACACATTTCTCCGTTGAATCTCTCCGTGTCTTATCAAGTCTTCTTTGAGACGAACGCGTCTTCACGGTGATGATATCTTAACGAGGATAAACGATGTAATTACACATACAGTCACTGCTAGAAATGTCTCGCAGGCGGTATCTGGATCAGAATTTTAATGATAAATATCGAGTAAAAATTTCTACGAATTACACTTTCTCTGAATGAAATTTTATATATATATATCGTTTATTGAATTTTTATATACGTTGAAAATATTTCTCATGTGCAGTAATAATTGCTCAAAGTATATTACAGTTTAATACAAATAAGTAATTAACATCTACCGTTGTATAGTTGATAAAAAAAATTTACGAACAGTTGCAAATAAAATCAAATTAGATATCTATTGAAATTAATTTTCATATATGATATACGTATCGCGTTGTTAAAATCATTTCTGTGTACAGTAGAATCAGTTTGTTATCTCGACCAATAAATCGGATAACTACGATTGCTATGTTTCAAAAATTTGCCCTTGACTTCAAACGGGTTTTGTGTGCCACTGGCAATAACAGACAAAGAGAATGTTTAGCTTAGCATGCTTGACTTCAATACATATTGACCAGTAGTACGCTACCATTGCTCTTAAAATTTCCAAACTCGTTAATATAACAGCCATTATTTACAAAGTAATAATAATAAACTTTCTTTTCGTTAATAAATTAACATGGATTGATCCTAAAGTAAAATCAATATTACACCACATAAAGGAGTAATAGAAGAAAATTAAGAAAAATTGGAAATTTGTTACAGGAAATAACCGATACCACGGAAGACAGCGACAGTGACGTGGAGGATATACGGAACGTAATCGAGAAGTCGCAGTCTCAGTTATCACTTGCTGAAAGTTTATTCTCGAGGTCGTGCAACGGCACGATACCGCAAGATAACGTACGTAGCCCATTCAGCTTGTACTTTATAGTACAATCCCGGCCTAAATTTTTGGAATATTTGCAAAGAAGCGTACAAAGTTTCTTTTCGTGGCTTTATTGCAAGTTTATTACCGCCGGTATTCTTGTCATACGCCTATGGGCCCATATAAGATACTTTTTCTTAATGACTGTATGGCACAATTAAAAGAAGGACAATTAATTTCTCTTCTTGTATGCTTTGTGTGCTTTCCTCATCTTGTAATCATTACAAGAAAAAAGATTATATCGTCTCGTTTTCTTGCATTTTTGATAATCTTTCAATCGTTTAATTTAGTTAATGCGTATGAGGAATGTCGTGTATTTGGATAATACTGTGTGATGCTTTTTGCTTTCTAAGTATTTCTTTCAACGTTTTATTTTTACTTCTAAACGCTACTGCTTGAATTTATTACTTGACGAAGGTCCCTCGATAGACTTGATTTTTCTTATTATTTATGATATATAGATAATGTATATGTATTTTTTTTAAAGGAAAGTTAAAATATATGTATATCTAGCATATTGTATAGGATTGCTTGACACATACATGCTTTGAAACAGTGACATACAAGGACAAATTGCCAAATCATTGTATAAATATAAATAAAATTGTAATATAAAAATTTTCTTTTTATGTGTTTCTGATCGTCCATCTGATCTATTCTATTATTACCATTTAACAATAAATAATACAGTATGTAAATAAGAAATTCTTACTCATGAATGAAATTAGTAAAGCGGACAATAATAAATATCATTCAAATAATGATGGAAAATAGGAAAAGGAGATTGTACTAATACTATTCACTTGCATGTTTACTATTCTATCCTTATCCTGCTTGTGTAACCCGTACTCACAAATCATGTTGACAAATATCCAAGTTATTGTACATGTCCCTGAATTGCTTCATGAGCGATTTCACGTTGTCTTTTGCAAGAGTATATTCCCTGAGAGTTATTGCGAATGAATAATTGCTTTTGATCGGTGATTTGCAAGGTGTACTTAAGATTTTTTCTACTTTAATTTTGCCGTAAGTATATTGTCGCATTTTTACTACTTTTAAATGATTTGCTATATCGAGTGGGTAATAGTATTGAGTAATTTAAAGATCGGAAAAGTGGATTTATTTAGAATAAAATTTTCTATGGCGATGGGAGTAAACAATGTAGATTGCTTAACATAATCAAAAGAATTCTTAAAATAATTAAAAGAAAGAAGAGTTGTTTCATACTATACTTAATTCCTTTAATAAATTATCTATGCATGAAACTGTGTTGAATTATCTTTTACACGCAGGTTTTTAATTATTTTGAGCAATAAGCAATATTTTTACCACGAACATAGTAAAAACATTGTGCTTGGATTCTTTCTCACTTCTTTTTTGCTACTATCCGATTATACGTAGAAATGTTAACGAAAGCTGAATTTGATTTCACGGAATGTTGCTAGAGTAATTCTTTTTACTTCCAATTAAAGACAATGGAATAGGTAGACTGACGTAAGTTTTTATGTTGTAGTCCGAAGTGGAATGTGCGTGTAGCGAAAATCTGCGGTGTCTGCACGCGTTATTGGAGTCCGTCAGCAATTCGTTCCGAAGCGAAAAATACGTGAAACAAATTCGTGGTGAGTACAATCAAATTCACCGTCGATCATTTTCTATTTCACTGTCGTACATGGCCGCTGTATTAGTTACTGCTCTGAGCGGACTTGTATTTTTGCTTCTTTCGTAATTTTATTATTTTATTCTCTAACGCGAAGACATAGAGGGAACATACAGAAGCAGAAAAGATATAAAATATTTTTACTTATATCGTGCGATGAATCTTTCGATGAATACGTTTGAAAACGTTCTATCAAATCTTTATAGTATTCAAACATAGTCGAAGGAAATTTATTTTCGACGTAAGAGTGATAATTAAGAGAAAAATCCGAATGGATTTAACGATTAGAATTTTAAATCGACTCGATTTAAGCGTTGTTTAATAAAACAGCTTGTGTAAATATTATTGTAAAGCAATTGCAAAGACTGATACGCAAGTATTATAGTACGTTACAAATGTGCATTTTTGCTTTCGATGTACATACTTCGAAACCGTATTTCTGAGAAGTGTATGCATTTGAAATAGTGTTATTGATACTAACCGTAACTATAATTGATCGATAAATCTCGTACTTAATTTTGGAATAAAAATTGTAAAGAATAACGAGTGAATCAAACTGTTCGTAATATAATGTAATTAATATCTGAATTCTTGTGATACGTTTGCTCAAATGTATATATAGAAAAGATTAAGATCTTTAAAGATCATTAATTAATTATATTTAAACGATGACTTGTGCACAGAAGCAATGTATGATACAACGATCCTTATATGGCATCAAGATACAAATGCACGTGTAAATTTTTTTGATCTATAAGTTGATCATCTGCATGCTAAAGAGCGAATTATATTTGCACATTAATGTTCGATTTGACCGAGGATCGTGTCCCCAGTAATTAACAATAATTTAAATATCATTTTACGTAATGTAAAATGTATTTTTAAATTTCACCTTTGAAATAATAGAAAGATGCGAGATAATATTACTAGTAATACATTAGTTAATACTAATACTAGTTAACTTTCGATAATGTGAAATCTTTTTTTAAGAAAGGATTACGTCACAATTACTACTTAACTTAAAAATGAATCGGTAACAAAAAAAAAGAAGGGGGGGAGGGGGGATATTGCTGGAGGAAACGCAAACTGTACGTATCTATTTTTTTACAACACGAATATTGAATTTTCTCGCTTGTTTATATAATTTAATTTTTAATTAATACCTTCCTTATTATCTTTTTATTTGTTGCAACGAACGCAAGTACGAGTGTAACAAACCTTTAGAGTATTTTGATTTTTAGTTCACTTTTGTATACCGTTCATATTGTAACCATTATGTAATAAACACTGCTTTGTTGTGGCTTCCTGCTACTAATTATCCTTTTGTTTCTTTTATCACCTACAGTAAATATTATTTGGATTATCAGCCCTTATCTCTAGTTTGGTGGTATTTGTATAGTTTGAATAATGTTTCTTTAATTCGTACGATAGAATGCCTCGAAGATATAGAGCTTTTTATGCATATTAAATAGATTTAATAGATCGTGAAATACATGTAGGATGAATTTGCCAAATGGTGCCTCCTCGTTAATATATTTATTATTTATGAACGATTTCGAATAAAATTATGGAATCTTATGGAATTTAATCATCTCGATTATATATACATTTCTCTTAATTACAGTAAGCCTCTACATTATCAAACAACCGAATGCTATTAAATCGACGAATAAGTAGCCTTTACAGCACTTATGTATCTGCTTGCAGCATGAAACCTCTAAAAACGTATTCCGTGTAGCAGCGGAACCAATTTTCTTAATTGCTAGAACAAGTAGCTTTTAAACGGGGGG